GTGTGTGTGTGTGTGTGTGTGTGTGTGTGTGTGTGTGTGTGTGTGTGTGTGTGTGTGTGAGAGAGAGAGAGAGAGAGAGAGAGAATGAAAAAGTGAGATGGATGGGAGAGGGGTGCTTTTGTGGTCATCCTGAGAGTGTCACAGGATACTGGCAGTGTGAGTCATGAATCTGAGGATGAAGAGGGGGAGGACGTGAAAAGGGCTGGAGAGTGAGTGGGTGGAAGGGAGATAGGGCTTGGACACGGGGGTGGAGGTGGCCCAGCAGGACATGCTAAACAGTGACTAGACCTGTGAGTCAGAGGGAGTGTCCATTGGCCAAGGGCACACACAGACACACACACAGTTTGTATTACTATAACTACTGTATGAAAGCCATCGTTGGAAAGTCAGTGGAAACTTATTACCTAATCCAGCATGCAACATTAATCAATTGCCTGGAAGGAATATTTTGATTTTTTTTTAACAGAAGGTGCAATGAGATCATTTGTTACAAAAGCTGGAGATGAAGTCAGATAAAACAAATGTTAACATAAGAAAAAAATAGAAGCTATACTGAATTATCAAAGTAAACAAAACTTGAAGGAGTGATACATACACTCAGCTTTCAGATATTTACCATGGGCCAGGGGTCTGGCTCCATTGTGGGGGTGGACTCCATTACAGTACCGATTCCACTTTCTTAAACAAGCTCTTTTGACACCCTTGCCCCTCCTACAGTCCAACATTTTTCTGATTGGCTGCCCCTCACAAAAAGAAGTGTGCTTTTAGAGCTTTCCGAAGCCTCAATAGTAACTGCAACAATGTCTACATCTATGCATACATGCCATGAAGTTCACAACTAACTTTGTCTTTCTGTGAAAAAGTGCAATTAGATGTTCTATGGTGCCATAAAACTGAGTGCAGTCAGCAAGATATCAGGTTTTGCCACCATTAGTGTCTTTTTCACATGACACATGCTTTATTGTTATTATAGAAATATTGATTGCAGCAGCTTTAAAAGTCTTGGTGTCTTTAACAGTGTTAGTGTTGCCTTGATGAACTAAATGTGAATCATTCAAGGGGGCTAAAGAGGTTAAATCTAAATCTTGTCCAAATATTTCACTAAATTACGGTCTCTGCTTCTATCAGCACTCAATTTTCAACCTCAATTTTCCTCAAGAATTATTAAGCATTACAAGAACGTATAAAGACACATTTTCCAGTGTGGTTTCAGGTTCATTATAACTTAAATGAATGGCTACTTGCAGGCTAAGCGCTCTCTGAGGGACACTCTACTGACTCAGTGTTATTCTGTTGAGGTAGCTGTAGCTGCAGCCTCTGACTCTCTGTTATTTCCTTAGTCTTAATGGCTTTTGGTTGGCGTTTGTGTGTGTGTGAATGTGCATGTGTATTTTCTTTTCCTTGCCAAGGGAACGGAGGAAAAACAGTTATGTAACCAAGGCTGCTGCCTTGTGGATCACTGTCCTCAGGGAAGCATCAGTGCTTACCTCCCCGACTTTTTCCTCTTCATTTCCATTTTCAATTAGATCCGATCATGCTCTCGCACAATATTCAGGAAT